CAACACGGGCAAAGGGAGGTGGCAGATAGGTATAGATGAACTGGAGCGACCTGTACAGAACGAACGAGAAATATGAAGAAACGTGGGGCAGAGAGAGCGCGCGTCATTTTTAAAAGATCGCGCTGGCAACTACGCTAGACAAATTCCACCAAACAAACGAAGAGCGAAGGGAATTACTCCCTGAGCACTGGATACGGAATTGGTAGGCAGTGAAAGGGGAACAATTGGGTACAACAGGCACGGATTAAGGGACTACAAATGGACTTATTTGAAACGGTGCCAAGCCGAGGTGGAGCTGACTGACGGAGCTGGAAGCGATTACTAGATGTGGTCTTGCTACTGGTATTTAGGTTCGGACGACGACAAAGATGGCGGAAAGTATTAGACGGTACTACCTCTCATTATCCTGCTGCTTCTAAACGATGCAGACGAGCGACCGCATTTGTGACTATATTTGGTGCGGCGACGTGCAGGACGGCGAAATGGCTGAGCAAGGTCGGCATTGGAACTGGAGTAGAACAACAGAAAGAACTGAAAGAACTGTGCATTTTCGTACGTTTGTTATATGGCTGTATGCTGCCAGCGGAAGGGCGCTGGTAGAGGGAATCAGGGACACTGGGAAGGATAGAACGCAGCCATTACTTCCCCGCTCTCTATGGGTAGAGAGTTTTGCTTTCACGGTAGATGAACTAGTGCCAGGAGTTACTTGGGAGTAACGTAACGTAGGACGAACTACAAACGCCACTGGATTGGCAGTCGGCTGCTGTTGCTGCCCGCTTGCCAGCAGTAGCAATACGGCGCGGAAGAGGCGGCAGTTATGGCGGCGACAATAGAAACAAAGGCGTAGCTGAGCACCAAGAGTACACGGTAACCACTGAGCGCAGCTTGACGCTATTTTTGCTGTTGCTGTTACTGTTGATGCCGGTTGTGGCGTCGAATGGGACTGAAGGCAGTGAACAGCTTGAACCGCTAGACGCGGTGGTGCACAACAGAAAGAAACAGAGCAGGAAAAGAAGAGAGGAAGCAACGTGGGGAGAAGAGACAGGGCGGGCGGGTGGGTGTCGCTAAGGGAGCGGGGCTACAGGGTGGGCATGACGGGCAGTATCGTAGACTGGAAGAGAGTGATTAACGGATTCTCCCGAGGGACCACCTAAGCACACGACACGAAACGGCAAGTGACGGGGTTAAGTTACCGTTAGTGCTGTCGGATAGGAACGCGACTGAACCGTGACTTCCGCCCCTGCCGGTTAAGAGCCAACTAGGTTGGGGTTGCCAGGGTTAGGCGAGGCAGGAAAGGGGCCATGCGTAGGCGTACTGGTAGCAGCAGCAGCAACTCGCTAGGAGTGCTGCTATTGCTAGCGCTATTGCTGCTAAACCTATGAGGCTGTCTCCTCCTTCCAGGATACGCCAGTGGTATCCTAGACTTGCATTACACTCGGGACGGCGGCTTGGTTCGTCGTTTGCTTTATCGTTGTACTATCGTGTGGCGCCCGCTGCTTGTCGGTCTCTGAAGAGCGGTATCGGTTACAAAGGGGCTGCTCTGTTGGGCTGCAGAGCATCTCTCAGCTGCTGCCGAGGGCCAATGGACCGAGAGCGACAGGAACAACGACGACTACAGACGTTGCACGCTGATAGTGCAAGTTGCCGCCGGGTTGCGGGCTGATTTGAGCACTTCATCGAAGTGGCTTCATGTTTTCGTAGTCCGACTCGAGGTGAAGCCCGACTGGCTTCAACTGAGCACGGCCCAACCGGTCGAAGCCGGGGATAGGCACCATTTGTCCGCGACAGCGGCCGGCCAAATGGACTACATTAACTAACGTAGTAACGTGGCGTAGTCTGCCTTACCGTTGCCCGGCATCACTCAGCAGCCATTCAGGCCCAAGGCAAGGTCTTTAAGACCTTTAGTGTTGTAGCTTGGGAGCTTTTACGTGATGCTCCTGCTGCTGCTCGCCACTGTAGGCCCAAAGGTCTACGTTTCGAATGATTAAGCTGGAAGTGAGTATTAAATGGTCATTACGGAATACTGCGTACCGCATCATGGGTGCTGCATGTGTGTGAATAATATGTGCCCAATATATAATCAGTTCGTTCAATTTTTTAGTAAAAAAGGAAACAGTTACTTACGAATCTATGGAAATGTCAGCCTATTCTCGATTAAACATTTTAAGCAAAAACACTTTACGCTGACGATACGAAGGCGTAGGTTCCTCTGGTAAGCTAAAAAAGGAACTGCTTTAAATAGAGTAGGTACTTATTAGTATTACTGATTTATTCCGTGTTCAAAAATTCATCTAATAATCGCATATATAATTCCCTAAATACGATTGTTTAGGTTGAAGATGGCAAAAATTTATCGATACTGTAGTCTGGACGGGTGTGCTCACAACATTTCATTATTCTAAGTTAGGTAGAGTGTTACGTTCGTATGTCTCTATTTGGCGTAATAGTAAATGCCAACCGTAAACGAAATAGTTTTTTTGTTATGTGATTATAACAACGGTATATCGGGCATGGATGGGATAAAACGGGCTGCATACAGGTTCGAGGAGCCAGTACTATAGAGAGAAATATATTCAGAGGGAGCGTATTTCTTTAGTATTGCTATAGCAAGCAGAAATTTTCTTACGGTAAGCCTAGATACAGCAAGTTTTTCATAGATAAGGCTAACACCAAATGACAGAATGAACGACGTCGCATCTGATGATAAAATGTTCAGGATACACTTTCTCTGTGAATCTACGGGTCAGTGTACTTGGGTAGTATTTGGTATGAAGAGTATCTAAGAAAAAGTAGCACGATAGAGTGGCGGGAGTTTCGAACGTTTGTTAACGGTGCATTGTGCCCGCTGTATACTTTGTTTTGCTCATACTTTCAAGAAGCTTTGCCTAGGAAGTAATTGCGTTCGAAAAGGTTACTGGTCGAGAAGCCTTTTTTTTTCCTGTTAAGAATAGTAGCAGGGTCATAATTGTTTCAATGATGGGCTATTTTATACGTTTCAGCATGTGTGGGCTTCCTCGGCAGTGAGTCGGCTCCGACATGGTCATCGCCTTTACATCACCCCCTACAAATTCAAAATTTTCATCCGCCAAACAATATAAGGATAGAGAACATTTCTTCGAGAGTATCATATATACGCTATGCATCTATTTTTGAATATTTTTTATTATTTGAATAGCCCCCACAGGATGGCCACTCGTTCGACACTAGAATTTCGGTAGTATCAGAAACGTAGTCCGTATCGTATACAGTACATCACCGTTAACCATTATACTGTCACGGCCTAATAGGGAGAGCAGCTAGTCCTGCTACTATTTCAAACTACGGGTATACGAATGTTGGTCTCGATCTATTACTATATTACTTGACGCCAGACACGTTATATGATCGACAAATCAACGATCCGCCGTAAGACCCACTTGTTCATTGCCTGATAGTTATTAAATAATAGAACCATTACTAATCGTGCCCTCTTCCCTAAAACGCGGAACCATACAATAATCGTAAAGATAATGCATTTCGACCGGTGGTCGTAACACCCGAAAGCGAGCGCGGGGAATAGAGGCAAATAAAGCATTACAAATAACACGATGATAATGGCCACAACCACTACTGTGCGTACCCGACAGCCGCTGGGCATCGCTTGCACAGAAGGGCTAAGCTGTAGCTAGCAACAGATCTAAATGAATGATGCCCAACGACTGCTGGATTCGGTTGGCTGAACGCTGAATACTAAGTAACGCAGTGACGAACGAGCGCGTCCTAGGGCTGGTGCCGCTCAAAACAACTAGCTTGCTCTATAAATCGATGGATAGACAAAAGACAAAGGCCGATGGCAGGGTAACGCTACTGGTGGCAAAGCCGGAAGCAGCTGTTAGAGATGAATCAGAGGAGGAGAAAGGTAGAGGATAAGAAATAAAGGGCAGAGATTCATCGACGGATAGACAGGCGGAGTGAAATGGTTCTAAAATTGAAATCCAGCTGCGTCGCTCACCGTTAAATCGTTGACAAACTGTGGTTAAGCATAGCGGGCGAGCGGTGAGCCACGGCATGGACAAGAGCCTGGCAGGCTCGCAGGAGTCGCCTTTGTTCCACTGACGTGAAGAATAGGAGCGCAATGAAAGAAAGTGAATACGATGGGGTTGCCGCGGCTGGTATTGCTGTCTCTGCGGCGTATTGAAAATATAAAATAGGCTGATTCTTTGGCTCTGATGAAGTCGAAAAGTTTTCAAACAAAAGGCGAGATTGAAGGGAGAGTGAGGAAAATATATGAAGCTGAAGGATGCGCCGAACATGCGTTGTCGTTGCTCATGGGCAGGTACAGCCGGTAGCGATGGCTGGCCTTAAACAACGGGATTGCAGCTTTGCCGTTCGGCTTCCAGGCGAAAAGCGGGCGAGAAGACCATGTTGATAATGAAAACGGAGTCCTGTTCCTAAAGCGATTTCTTCTAAAACGGCTTCTTGTAATGGCAAACGATTGTCAACTTGCTTCAAATCGAGAACTAGCATAGAAACGGCATTGAATGCAGATGGACGGCATCTACCGCTGACCATGCGCTCCCCAATCCATGTGAGTGACATTCAATGGTAGCACAAAGACTCAATTTGAAATAAATACAAGAACAGATAAGTACAACCACAAGCGTTATTCACCGATATGGAAAGTCTGCATGGACATATTTCTTGGCCGGCTAGTTGGATACACAGGGCGGGTCAATACGGCCAGCGGACGTAGCAACGGTCAGTGAAGTTAGACAATCAACCAGCCAAGCAAACGACTTCTTAATCTCTTACGCGTTCGACATTTCCCCTAGGTGCTTTTATAATGCCTATTATATGTCACTGCTAGACAATGATCGGTCCCTGGACAAAGTTCCAAAAAGCGTGACGCTGCATCGTAAAACGGTAGTTAGAAAAAGCTGTAAAGGCCGTTACTAGCGGCGGCGCCATGCGTCGCGACAGAGCTCTCATTTCGTTCGTGATTTTACCGACAGCCACATCGTGCGGTTTCTTGTTCACACATATCCACGACGCTGATTCGTTTCGAGACGAAGAAACCTTAATAACGACTGAGATCGTGCTGGTTACGCCAAAAGGTCTTCGGCGATTGTGCCTTCATCGTACACACAATACTTCACACGACTACGACCATATTAACTATCAAACGTTGGATATTGCACTCAAGGGACAGCGCAGTGCAGACGAGCTGCTGCCGCTGCCCCTGCCCCTGCCGCCACCGCTGCTGCTACCAGTAGATTTGTGAAGGTATACGAACGGGGCGCTCCTATAGCTACTATTGTATAGCAAATGAACTTGGCAGTCAATCAGATGCAAAGGTGACACCATATTTGTATGCGGCAAGTTATACATATACTTATCTCTTTCCGCCTTATTTTCTCCCCCGCCCCCTTCCTTTCCTCCTCTGCAAATAGCTTTAATGAAGATGGATCGGCTATCGGTTGGTTAGGTTCGCATTAGCGCACCAGAGGCTGATGGCGAAATGGGTGACGACATGGTGACTAGCTTCGAATATTTCGAGCTGTGCGCAGCCGACTGTGAAGAACAGAAGGTTCAGGCTAGAGGCCCTGGCAACCGAAGCTAGTTCTAGTTTGGCGGCAGACTGAAGATCCGACTTAGCTGAACTTAACAGAAAAACGATAGTGACTATAGAGCGGAACCAAAGGCTAAATGAAATGGTGACACAGTTGCCGAAATCAAGCTGCAGATACACTAGTACGCTTGGAATGAAAAACAGGCAGGGTGACAGCAAGAATGAAAGAGGCTGAGGTTATCGAGATGCGGCCAAAAGCTGCTGGCGATTGGCGTATCATCGGTCAATGAAACGCGCTCGACTGGAAGGACCAGATACTGGTGAGATAGGCTGGTAGACAAGCAATGCATTCTGACCACTTCGTTTCGAACATTCTGCCCGGAGATAGACCAGTAGTAATCTAGATAGAGTTTGCGCTGTGAAGTACAACAATTCTCATAGAAGAGCGTACTCTTGTTTGCTGTTAGAACGTGTAGGGTCCGTCCGTTTGCTGATAGAGCTATCTGGCTTTTAACATTAGCTTAAGGTGAAGATTACGTATGCGAGTTAAATCTATGTTGGTACGCTTATTGTAAAAATGCTGTAAGATTTTTCTTATATATTTAAGAAGAGTTTGTAACCAAATGTGTCCAGTGAGATGCTCGCTTTTTCGAACACAATCGTCGTATACAAAGGACACAGAACTTATAGAGTTTCAAGAAAGACCCCCTTACAGAAGAAAAGTAGGACAGTTACAGGGGGTAGTGTCACCTTATCTGAAGTGCAAAGCCGTACAGAAGTGAAACTACTAGGCAGAAGACGCTGGGCGTGGTTGCGCACGACGAGATGATGGCAGACTTTGTGGTTGTGATAATGGGGCCGCGTAACAATGCTATCCTATAGGCTATAAGCTACAACCTAGAACGCACTAACAATACCTCCGAAAATATCGACAGGCGCTAAAAACCTCGGCAGCTGTAACTGCCACAAAACATTGCAGTGGTTGCCCTGCTTAGCGGTTACGATCACGAGAGAAAATTGAGTTACTTTTCAAATTGCATAGTTGGTAGTGGCTACCGCGTCAGTTGAGCTGACGTATGTGATGGATACTTTTATTATAAATAGTTACTCGGATACCGGCGTAGACCAAGTAAAAGGCGGAATGTAACTATTTGCGTCTTTATATCAATCTTTTGTCGACTTGTGACTAGACAGTAAGCGTTTAGAGGTTCGAACAGTTTAAAAAAAACACAGGTGGGGAAATCGTAATGCTTAACCAAGGCGAAATTGTTCCAAGCTGATACCTCCCAGCTTCTGGTTGTTGTTCAGTTTATATTCTAAGGACAAGATAAACGTTTTGGAGCTGAATGATAATTGATAGGATGTTATGACCCGGAACTTCCCTGTTGGCCGATTTCAAGCTGGGCTCGTCGACGCATGCGGTTGCTCGGCATACTTGTACAATCACTTCTGCTTTTTCTAAATCGAGTAAAATACGATCTATCCTTTCAATAATGGCAAATATACGCAGATGAAACAACTACTATCAATGGACAATGGAACCCATCAATCGTTCCAGCGCACAGCTATCTGTCTCAATGAATATAAAACAGATTTCTCCTAGTTTCATGAAATAGAATCGAGCATTGAATATGCTAGTCCACCACTGTTCCGTTAACTGCGCGTCCACATCAGTCGTCCCGCAATCAGCTAACCGCCGTTGGTTTACAAACTGGTCGGCAGAAAACTAGCAGGCCTTTTGAAAAAAGAAGAAGAGAGAAAGAGGACTGTACATTGCGAAAACGGCTTTCATAGGGTCTTCCTATCGTGCCGTTGGCGGTTCTTTTGAATCTTAATCATAATCCTAGTGGGGACAAGATTGCTGCAGTCTAGGTAATTGTTTCTTTCGGACCACGATGGCTGTTGTCGCTGATAATATCTGCTTGATGATACGCTCGAATGATGTCGCGTTCTTTCCGCCATAACTCTTCTTAGCTCGAGCCACGTAAGGACGAATTGACGCCACTTTCTGATCTATGCGATATAGAAAAGTATGATATAATGAAGTACACACAACAAGACGTTCAGGGCTCAACCGGACGGCTTCATTATGATACGTTAATCACTATATTTCGTGTATATTATGCCAATATACTTCATATTGCTTCACAGTGTTGTACGACTACACACGACATTCGGAAGCTCTGATGAGAAACGTGAAAGATGTGATTGTTATTCTATTTCTAGTCAAAGGAGCTTCCTGTAGCATGTAGTGCAGGGCGAGGATAATCTTCGTCGTTATGAGAATCCTAATTGAGGAGAACATAGTTGGGAAAAAACCTCAGAAAAAATCGATAATATGCTTGTGACAGTCAGAGAAAGACTGAATTCAACAGAGTAGCAGATTTAATGGGAAACATTAGCTTATTTTTTTCTATATTTATGTGCTTTTCTATACTTATGAAGCCGCAATCAAATCTTAGCAGGGTGTTAGTGCTGAACAGATTCGTATTTGACGCAAATATAAAGATAAAAAAGGGACCAGAGACGTACTGGTCGTCATCGTCAGTTGCATCAGTCGTATTTAGGTAGCTCCAATATATATCTGTCCCATACGATAAGGAGGCCTCGTTTGCTCTAAAACCAGTATAGACAGGGGAACATGGATTCAACAAGTTTTACCTTAATATTCATCAGATGTATTTACATCTGTGGTATCCAAACACAAACCCCTTACGGCGAGACTATTTATTTACTGTGGACGCTTAAGTGGTACCAGGTTATAGCTCGGAAACAAACACCAATATCACCCTAGGCTCACAGTCGGGTTATGTACGCAAAACATCGTAGCCATATTTCCTGCTACAAGATATGGCGGCCTTGAAGATTATATTATACGTAATGCTATGTCCCTGTATATGTACCTTTGGAAATTGTAAGAAAATTGTAAAAAAAAAAAAAAAAATGTTAAATAGAATATCTTGCAATTATAATACGACAGGTTATAACCACCTATAAAAAATTTTCCTATTCTGACGAGAAATGATTACTCCCTTACCCCCATATAATATATGGATAGTTTGAAAAGGACAATCTAGATAATAATTTAATCAAGCAACTCACAGATTCAGTGCAAATTCAAACGAGTGAAGGTCCAGTTTTACTTTTCGCAAATATAAATATACGAGTAGCAAATTCTCTCCTGAGTATGTGGCATAAGGTCATGACGTTGACAGGACCCAGCTCTGTATTTATATTTTTTTCTCTCTTGGCATAACTTCGAATCATCCACGATCCTATCTTCGAATACGTAAAAAGGTACGTGATATTGATACGCTTTGACAAACGGCTCTTTGAAACATCCAAAGCACTTTGCTATCAGCTGTCGCTGTTTTTTCAGTGGCAAACACAATCAACCAGGATGACCACAGCAATTCCATTCCGCTAACGTACGTCAGATGCTGATAAAAAGATCAGCATTTTGATTTTTCAACGTAAACCTAACTGTAATCCCGACTGTGCTTGATTTTATCGCTGTATTGTTAATAGACTGTATTTTTACCATAATCCCTTTCATAGAAAAAAAAAAAACTAGCATAGCGTATATTCGAGAACTATCTAATTCTATTTATCTATGACTATGATAGAATTTCATATGCCCAAGAGGTTATTTCCGCCCTGTGAGACTATGTTTATTCTGCCTTTTCGCACATGTTTCATTGACGTATATATATACATATATCTTTATATAAATTTTTTTACATGTTGTTCTACAAACCGCTTAAACGAAAAAAGAATTGATATATATATCAGCGAATTTTTTTACTGCTCTGAAAAGTCATTCCTAAATATCATGGTTAATAATTCACCGTGATTTCGTCTTCGTTTCAGGACCTAAACCATCATCGTCATCGATAGTAATTTTTATTTGTTCCCTGATCCGCAACCCTTTAGTAACAACCCAGCGTCAGTGATATTGGTAAGTGATCCACTGTTTGTGTCGTTTAATGAAATCTCCGGATGACAGTAGAGCGAAGGTTTTTAAAAAATGCGCGGAAAATCTTCAAAAGAGTCACTGTTGGAGCTTGTCTAGACGACCCAATTAGAAATGAGTATTTTGCTCCTTGAAAGTGCCGTTAATATCAATATAAAAAACTTCAGGGGGGTCAAAAATGGCGTTTGGGGGCATTGTGGTAAATTTTCAAGCCCTTTAAATGTAGACTCTTCCTGCATTTTTCGTTTTCCCTCTTTAGAGACGTCCTTCAGATCCTCCAGAAGCCGCATAAAAACTGATATACATTTCGGAAATAAAGGGAAGTTTATAACTTCGGTGTGGGGGGGGTACACGTTACGCTGCGTAATGACAGATGATTCGCACTGAAACTTCAAAAAAAATGCGCCGCGTTTGCGAAAAACTGACTTCACTCTGACACCAAGAATGGCATGTTCGCTGCGTTTTAACGGTCAGCCAAATGAATCTATTATTGCGAAAAGTAATGCTGTTACCAGTGAACCAATTCAATCGGGTTCACGCAGCGTTTTATACACTTCATTTACCTAGAAGTTATTAATATTCCCATCGCGCATTTCAACATTAAGCATAGCCATCGGAATATGTTTCTCAAGATACTCCGATATACCTTTATCGTTCACGGTAAACTGCCGGCTGCGATTCAGTTTCAGATCACTCGGCTCATGATAGTAAATGATCCGTGGTAACGCAGCTGCAACTTCTTGGAAAATCACGGTGTTGCCCGTCCTTGATTTCCTGCGGGGCAGACGCGCCCTACTCGAACTGTGCTTTCATGTAACATTGTCGATTCCTGGGCTCTCGGTGCGCACTTCTGCGCGCTCTACGGCATACCGTCCTCGGCGTTTTTACAGCCGGAAAACTCCTCGGCCCGTACAATCTAATAGACTAAGAATAACCCGAATGGTGTCCTCCCCGGGTTTTCGCTTGCGAATGTATTGTGCGAAAACGCTATCCAAGGCAGCAACCACTGGAGTAAGCTGCGTCCTTCTATAGCGGAAACTCAGCCGCTTCGTGACCGCTTGAATCGTACGCTTGACTATCGCGTTGCATGGAGAGTATCTGACAGCCATCTGAATGTGTCCGATGTGGTTTCGCCCAGAGTAGTCTAGTAGGGTGCACTGCCGTCACGACGGCGCCAAAACTTTGGAAGGAGCATTGTGCAGCTTCCAACGTCCGGATCGAGGCATTTGACCGTAATCCCAATGTTTGATCGGCTGGCGAAGTTCATGATTTCCAGTTCTTCTTGCTGGTGCGTCGTGCAAGTGTTGAAATCAGATGAGTAGACTAACCTTATCGAGAAGGACGAGCGCCATCTGGTACTTCGGAGCATCAACGGCTTTGTTTGTCAATTTCTGAAATGTTGCGGGGGCATTAGCGAAGCCGAATAGCATGCAAAGCAGAATGCCGTTCTCTCTTCGCCGTGTGGTAGCATACTGATCTGGCAATACCTGCTGATCAGGTCTAGGATGTTAGTAGTAGCAGACGGCGGCGGGGGCGTCCATAACATCATCAAGTCAATTGATCGGATATATAAATTGTTTGCAAAGGCGTTAAGGCTAAGAATAAAATGAAAACATTACGAATAATCCACTGCAACAGTACGGCTTGTGCTGTCCTAATTGCTAAAAACTGTTCATTTCGCGTTCGACTAACATAACTAGCACATATATACCACTCATATTTTGTCTCTACTGAACGCTTTATAAAGTTTTCTTATATGAGCTGCTTGTATGAGAATTAAACAAACCGCCTTTTATGAACAGCGAAACTGATTAGCTATGATAGGCCGACATTTTTTCGTTAGTTCTCTAGCAGGCCCTGAGATGAGCAAACAAAATCCTAAGCTAACAATATAAGCTTAGAGTTATGAATACCAGCGCAAACAGCGAAGTTGGACCTGCTTTTACATGCTTTGTATGTCGCGGCTTGTTCGACGTAATAATGGCACTCAAAACCAATGATCATCATAGTAGCTATAGGCGTCACTTGTGTGGTTAGTTAGGCTGGCTAAGCCGACTAAGTCCTGGTTAGCGCCTGATCGTGCTCTCTGAGGATGGTCTTTGGTGTCGAGAAGCTACGAGATACAGGCACGTCCTTCATATCGAGGGTCAAAGCGTAGCCTGATTTCGCTCGCTCGCTACCCTCTGAGCTTTCTGAATCGGAGGACATTATGGACAAGGTGCTACCGACTTCTAGCTCCTCATGATGTCACGCGGAATCGCACCATCCAATGAATAGCCGCGTTTGCTTGCTGAGACTTTAATCCAAATGAATGGCCGGCCTTCCGGCATCTGGCACCTTTATATCGTATGTAGTCGGCCCGGTCTGCTTGTTCCTAGGTCTCAGGTATTGAAGTAAACCAACATAGCCATCGTTCGTGGCGTACCGTTCAGCGGTGTAGCAATCTACATCCATGAGACAGTGAGATGACGTAGACAACCAGATGAAACGGACATGAAAAGGGCGATCATCGGCAAGACAGCCGATCAAAATCGCCGTCACTACTATTGTAATACTTACACTTCGGCAGATATTTGAAGTTGAATATATATGGTATCGGTTGAGAGAGGCGCTGTCCTGTAAATGCGATTGGACACGCTTAGGCTGCGTGAAACAGCACTACCGGACAAGCCAATATACGACAGACGACCCATCGTTATGGAGAAGATGTTCCGACCGAGATTTCATGCTCTTCTGTACGGCCTCGATTACACAGTGGTATTCAGTAGGATTCACTCAGCATTTGAGTGAGACTGGCCTCGATTTGCTAGGCAAAAGCACATTCTGAATCAGCAGATATAACAAGCATATCAGTAGTTGAAGGGGTCGTCTAGAACAAAGCGCATGCGATATGATGTTAAAGACTGCATACCCCATCTGGCTACTAAATTTCTATTTATTGAAAACGTGAAAGAATGACAGATATTCGTAACCTTTACAATGCAGCCGAGTGTCAACTGGGAAAGCCTGCAGAAACACTGTTTCTACTTCTATTTCAGACAGCGCGGTGCAGACTATTATACATGCCATCGCCATGCTCTCGTATCGAGCCTTGAAACGAACAAAATTGCCTTCTGTCATGCAATAATTCTTTTTGCTGTATTTAGTTGGTTAGGGGTAAGGCACCCGATACGCGCTGTCCATTCGTGTTTCCCGGCTGGACGTTCCTAGATGATATGGGGATCGCTCTGTAAACTAATTTCTCCCGCTGGCACACCACAGCAGTGCCCAGAAAGGCAGTTAAACGCAGGCCGTCTGTGCGCAACACTGGATAGCACCCGCCGTCGTTGCCGAAGCCAACAACGAGGCGCTGAGCCAGCCACAAACGCCTACTGCTATTATTACTGGCAGCAGTCCTACAAGATTAAGACGCAAGTAAAAGTGAGGAAAACGAGGTCGGTCATCGTGTCGAAAACTTTTCATACATTCAACTCAGATATGCAAATTTGCTGAGTCGAGAAATTGACGTCTCACGTCGGCCTGAGTTTCTACTTGCCCTGTCAGTATTTAGCCAATAGACGTGCCGCCAGCAAATTTTGCCAGCAGAGTGGCCTCGAAGGAAAACTAAAACGGGAAAGCCATTGGGGGGACTAGGTCTGCGTATGGTTCGAGGCAGAGAAACACGGAGAAAATGTAGCCAGTGGCTAAGCAATCCATGGTCTTCAGAAGCAGCAGAAAAGAAAGAAGACCATAATGGTAATAAATACATACGACTAAGAGTAGAACGAGGCTGGCACATACGAAAGGAGGCGAATAAATGTGAAGGTATCGTCATTTTACTGTGCTATCAGCGATATCTAGCGTATCCTATGTTTTTGGTGTGGTTTATCACAGGTTTTTATATTTATTTATTGTACATTGTGTTTTTTGAACGAATAGTATATTTATGATATTCACTAATAAAATTGCTCTCAGGTCTATACATAATAGATGGTCAAGTGAAAATAGTGTTTGTGAGCTGTAGCGTACTTTTGTCGAAATTATTGATATTGTATTAAAAGCGTATTAGAAAAATGTAGCTTTTACTATAAACCTTTCCTACCTTCCACCAAGTACACTTCTAAATTGTCCGCTAGATACCTCAGCCCAATTCAGCGTTAGTTGAACCAGTAATTTTATCTATATCTAAAAGGACTTGTGCTTATCGCATGAGAATAGACTAAGCAGGGCGAAAGATAAAGCGAACCAGGGTTACAGCAAATTTTTATATGAAATTATACTTCAAACCTTTCCCTGTAGGTGTCGTGCCCAAAATTTTTCCAACTGGCCAAATTGCATTCGGTCTTTTACATCGACGTAGCCAGTAAAAATGGCTGAAATCACACGAAAAGACATAATCCTTACCCAGTTTACGTAACATGCATTTCTATTGCTCTCATACACATAAAATTTTAGAAAACATCAATACGGCCTGTTTTTTGCTGCTCACTACATCACTTTGGTACCTTATAGAGATGTGTGTATGCTCAATCGTTTTCAAGGTCTCTGATATTGATATCTTTCGTTATTGGACTAAATAGTTCGCTCTGCGTTTATTCCCGTTACCCGTAATAATATTTTCGTGTTTTATGTCGGGTGCTACCGCTAAGGATTCTTCCAGTTGGCTGACACCTTCCAGCGTTAAGCTAATCATGTGCTCATACCCGATTTCAAATCTAAACCGCCACGGATGTGCCTAAATTTCGTTATCAATGCGCTACTGCCCTACTGCTAGTACGCTGTCTGCTTTGCCAGACGCGACCACTGGACCAACAGGAAAAAGCTTCGTTTGTTTTTTTGCAATGCTTTTTCCCTTGTTTGCAACTAACGTGCCCTTTCTATTGGCAATTATCTCAAGCGATTAACTAAATAGAATGTGGTGACCCTGCCTTGAAACTAATACTTCGGCGAGTAACGTTACTGTTATCCTTATTATATGTATATTGTAAGCGCGTAGGCTGGTTGAC